ACATCCAACGCTGGCGCCCATTAAGGGAGTTTTCCTCTAAAGACTTGCACTGACTGAATTTTTTTTTTTTTCGTTTTTCTCTAAGACCGCTCTTAAAACTTCGTCTTTCCACCCACTGACTCTTTCATATCTGTCAATTAAGATATGCGTCCCATAAGCCCCATGTACAATTTACACAATTTGGTCCCAGAGCACTTGTTACTGGTCTGCTCATGTAAGGTTACAGAAGGGCATTATCCCCACTTTGCTGCCATTTACTGCATCAGTAATAGCGACTCTGTGATCTTACTGTTGTATCTCAGCTCCATTCGGCCCCTCAGAGGCCCATCGGGGTGTTTGTTAGCTCCATTGACGGATCATTAAGGCTTTTAGTCGACCAGATCATTTGTTCTCTAATGAGAGGGAGAAATGCGAGCCCTGATACTCATCGATGATCAATCTCTTCTGCCTGTTTTAACTGTATCACTCGTTCTCTCTCTCTCTCTCTTCGCTGTCTGCATCTTTATCTCTTTATCAGAGATAAAAGTGAGGTTGGAAACGCTTGGGAACAATTAGCCTCACCCGTCTAATCAAATCTCTTGTGCGCAGCTCCTTCCACCTCATTTTCATAAAAACTTTGTGAATGTCCCAAACCGTGCATCATATTAACGCCCCCCTCATCTCCTACTTGTCTCTGCCTTTCTATTAACTAGCTCTTTAAACCTCTTCAATGTAAGACTTTACAATCCTAATTTGCATGCTAGCCACCATAGTTTGCAAGATTAAGATAAATGCGTTCTGAGTCGCGGTATATGGGATATAGTAGGCCTGTCTCAAAGCTGCACAGATGGAGGCATTTTTACAGTGGATTTTTGAAGTTTGTTTGCCTTTTTCCACTAATCTCTGTGTGCTTTTTGGGATAATATGGCCTATTTTGTATTGTGCATTTTAAAGACGAGATATTTAAAATGGTTCTCAAAACTTTCTCAAGTTAAAACTTGCAGACTTACAAAAAAGTAGGGCTAGTATGTAGTAGGACTTAGATAGATATTAATATATTTGTTTTACTTCTATACATCCTGATCAATGTCATCCAATGAAAGAATGTTCATATCAATGGCCATAAAATAAACAAACACTACCTGACAAAAGTCTTGTCGTCGATCCCAGTTGTAAGAGCAACAAAAAGACGACTTACCATGTTTGTAAACATTCAGAATGTGTGCACAGCGAGGTGGCAGAAAAAAATGGGAGCGCTAGCATTTACATCAAGGGAATGACATCCGATACCATACAGAGTTTGTTGTTGTCTTAGAAATAAGTTATATTGATTACATACTATATATATTATTTATATAATGCCTTCAGCGTATTATAACAGTTTGTCACCCAGTGATAAGCATAGTTGTTCTGCACAATTAACATTAAAGTGAGTGGCGTTCGTCTGACAGGTCCATTTGCGATAGCATCCTCCCAATGGATATTGGATAGGACGAAATGACCAAGCACCCAGCCCCAAATATACAATCTCATTGAAGCTCCAAGTGATTTTACAAGAAAGAAGTTTAAAGCCTACAAGTCTTTGGATGCCAACAGTTTTGTTCTGTGTGGTTATGTGCAACAAATAATATTCCATGATTATCAGATTCAAAACTTTGTAGTGCTAAAAACTGAGGTTCTGCCTAGCCAAAGACGAGGAAAAGATAGAGCTAGCGTTAAACAAGGCCTGTGTAATCATCAACAAGCAAAACTACTGCATTCTGACAGCAAACTACACCTGAACTTACGACAGGGTATGTGAACTTACACATAGAGATAAAGTTGGTTTTATATTCGCACATTTGGATTTTCTCCTTAATAATATAGTTTCATAAAAGTATTATTTGCAAACTCTAAATAGCGAAATCATATTAGCAGCCAATGACTATTAAAGTACAACATTGTTCACAGTCAAATAAACAGTGTTAATGCTGTTTTCAAGTCACACTTGCAGGTTATTTCAGGCCGAATATCCAAAGTGCCGTCGTAAACACTATAGGGAGTGTGTCACAAGTTGTCACTGAATGAATGTGTGAATATAAAACCAACTTTACCTTAATAAAACTTCGTCAATATAGATAGTCAATTTATTCAGTAGGCGAGGCAGTGGCGCAGTAGGTAGTGCTGTCGCCTCACAGCAAGAAGGTCGCTGGTTCGAACCTTGGCTCAGTTGGCGTTTCTGTGTAGAGTTTTCATGTTCTCCCTGCCTTCGCGTGGGTTTCCTCCGGATGCTCCGGTTTCCCCAACAGTCCAAAGACATGCGGTACAGGTGAATTGGGTAGGCTGAATTTTCCGTAGTGTACGAGTGTGTGTGTGAATGTGTGTGTGGATGTTTCCTAGAGATGTGTTGCAGCTGGAAGGGCATCCGCTGCGTAAAAACTTGCTGGATAAGTTGGTTTAATAAAGGGACTAAGCCGACAAGAAATGAATGAATTTATTTAGCTCCCTTTTAGCCAAAAACGTTTGCAGTGAAAGCAGTGTAGCGTACGGTAAATAATAAGTTTTCTATTTTTGGACTGTTTTCGAATTTGGCATTTTACTGCACAACACGTCTTGTTTACTATTGCTAGCGGTCTCTTTTTCCTACTGGGAACCCTTGTGATGTAGGTTGGTTCCCAACATAGTTTGGGAAATATTTAAAAAATCAAAAAAATCAAAGGGGGGCTAATAATTCTGACTTCAACTGTATGTTTAAAATATAAATGTAAAATGTATTTTTAATTACATTTATGTGTTCTGCATATTCATTATTACTCTAGTCAAAAACACAGTAAAATGCTAAATGTCACTGTATTTCATTTCTCCATTGCTTTCATTCTCATTGGAAGAGCTAAAAATGTGCTTCTTCAGATTAGAGAAACCAGAGAGATAGCACAAAACCATCTGCCTAATAGATCATTCTGACAGTTTAATTTTAATGCTTGATTATCATTCAATCTTATAATTGTATTATCCAACCGTTCAATTAATTTGGTCTATATTTACACCGATGATTAGGATCAGAATGGAAATTGTAGTCGTGTGGAAAAGTAAGCAGGCTATCAGTTGGAAGAGCTCTCCTGATAGTCCTCCTCCTGCTCCATCTGCTCCCGAACATCTTTCCATTAGATGAACGAGTACGTTTAGATGAGATCGAGTGCATGGATCCACTTTAAATCACCGGACATGGCTGTGCTCTGTTATAAAAGGAGCTTTACACATACAGAAATGACTAGAATTCCAATGAATGCTACAAAGTTTGAAGGAATCAAGCTTGTAAGTTAATCGGGGGGTTATTTTTGTCTCAATGGGAAATTGTATGTGAAACCAATAACATGGCATGCATTTTAGCCATGTTGATATAGTCAAGAGGAAATTCAAACCAAGCAACAGAACAATATTGTGCAAGAAATTGTGTAAAAGAGGTATTTAGGGTTGATGAAAACTACTAATGCAACATGATTTGTGGTAAATTCACAAGTAGACATTTCTTACTGAGTCCTTATAAGATGGAGTTTAAGTAAAGTGTGCGGTACATATAGAGAGAAAAGTGTTTCTACAGGTGGTTTGTCAAGCCCACTCACCCATGGGAGGCACACTCCTACTTGCACAATGTTTGTTCTAAAGATATGGAGTGGTTTTAGGAAAGTATCTGGTGCACAGAGAGAGAAAGAGTGTGTTGTTTTTTTTACAGGTGGTTTGTTCAGCCCACTCATCTGTGTGAGGCACATGCACAATTTCATAATGATAATATAATATGCAGACTTAGTTTATACTTGTAATAAAATTATAACGAGTGCTCAGTTGTTAATATTATTTATATAAATATGTAGTATGTATTTATTTTCTAATCTATATTATATACATTTAATATTAATGTGAAAGAATGGAGTGGATGAATGGATGGATAGAAGGATCAATGATGGAAGGGTGGATGGAAGGATGGAAAAATGGATGGATGGATGAATGGAAGGATGGAGTGGATGAATGGATGGATAGAAGGATCAATGATGGAAGGGTGGGTGGATATATGGATGTATGTATGGATAAATGGCGGACGGATGGATTGATGGATGGATGGAAGGATGGAGTGAATAAATAGATGGATGGATGGATGGATGGATGGAAGGAAGAATTATTGATGGATGGATGGATGGATGGATGGATGGATGGACGGATCGATTGCTGTATGGATGGAAGGATGGAGTGGATAAATGGATGGATGGATGGATGGATAGAAGGAAGAATTATTGATGGATGAATGGATGAATGGATGGATGGATGGATGGATGGATGGACGGACGGATGGATTGATGGAAGGATGGAGTGGATAAATAGATGGATGGATGGATGGATGGATGGATGGAAGAAATATCGATGGATGGATGGATGGACGGATGGATTGATGGAAGGATGGAGTGGATGAATGGATGGATAGAAAAATCAATGATGGAAGGGTGGGTGGGTGATTGGATGGATAGAAGGATCAATGATGGAAGGGTGGGTGGGTTGATGGATGGATGGATGGAACGATGGAGTAGATGAATGGTTGGATAGAGGGATTGATGATGGAAGTGGTGGATGGATGGATGGATGAACAGATGGATAGATGGATGAAGGAAGAATAGATGAATGTATGGGTAGACTATTGTATAGATATTTTTTTTTAAGTTTGGAATGTATCTTTATTCATCCTCATATTTAGACTTTTCATTGTACAAAATGTTGGTGTATGGATGGATATTTCTAAACAAATACTTGAATGTATATATTCCTCCTCATATTTAGTCTTGAGGCTCTAGGTTTGCTGAACGGCACTCAATAGACAACAGGTCATGTTTGAAGTTTGATCTGTAAATATCAGCAGCAGAGCGAGGACTCAGCGAGTATACAGCAGTCTGTGAACATTAGCTGGTCATGTTTACCTCCTGCAGGTCAAACTGTTATTCCTATTCCCTATTCCTCATATTCTGTCTCTTCCTCTGTGTATTTGTTTTCTCCAGATGACGTTCCTCCATACTTTAAAACAGAGCCGGTCCCGAGTCAGTTGCATCTAGAGAGGAACCGGTTGGTCTTGACCTGTATGGCTGAAGGAAGCTGGCCTTTGGAGTTTAAATGGATCCACAACGATACAGAGATCACACGGTTCTCGCTCGAGTACAGGTCAGTGTATGTGTGTGTGTGTGTGTGTGTGTGCGTGGGTCACTCAAAAAAAGGATGCTTGCTGTTTGTTTGAAAGACTTGTTGAGCTGGATGACCTGACGAAAATATGATTATTGAGTATTTTTGGGGTCAGCTTAATTGTTTTATATTCAGTCTACTTAAATTTGCAAAAACTAATAAGCTAACTAATTCCTTCATGTTGTCCCAACACAAATTGATTATGTGGAACCCAGCATTTCTTACAATGTTAAGCAAGATTTGCTTTCAGAGGGGTTTTGGTGTTGTGTTAAACATCACGCATTCTATGTTGTTATACATCAAAACTAACATCAGAACTCATGTTGACAGAAAAGTGGATTTTATTTAGTGGCTGCTCAGACCACTTGACTTCATCTTGAGTTAGACTGAGTAATATTATTTGATATCTGAAATGCCTTTCTAAAACGTTATTTATATATTTATGTTAGCTGTTTATTTAGCTACTTACATCTCACATTGATTTGAGTCCCGGTTTGTTTTTCACTCAAAGTTTTGATCTTAACTTCAGAGTTAGATTTGATGTTTTCCAGTCAAGTTCCAAACACTTCAAAAAAATGTTGTTGATAAATATAAATTATAAAATAGCTCATGCACAGTCTTATTTTGTAATTCCTTTGTAATATTTTGTAAAGTCTTTATTTTGATTCCTGCTGAGAAAGTAGGTTTTATTTTATAGAAAAGTTTAATTTTTATTTTGCTTAAAAACAAAATTCACACTTGTGATATTCCAAATGTATATGACTTTGTATAATATTTATTTATTTATTTATTTGTGCATCTAAAAACAAGCCAGTTGGTCAATTTGTTTTGAACTTACAGTTTAAAGCAAAAATATTATCTCTCTTTATCATTTTCAAATCTTTCCCAAATTTTTTTCAACATATAGTTTTTGTTTTGTTTTTTTGCTTTTTTTTTCTGTAAAGTTTATTTCTTTTAGTTTGTCTGGAACAAAAGCATTTTTAGGCTTAATCCTGTTAGCCTTCCTAAGAAAGTACAGGCTTCATATGGTCATAGAAAACTTGGAAAAGTCATGGAATTTGACATGGCATTTTCCAGGCCTGGAAAAGTTTTGGAAAAACAGAAAAACCCAAAAGTCATGGAAATTAGTTTAAAAAATATCTGTATACTTGAATTAGGGCTGCACGATATTGAAAAAATCAGACCTTACCATATTTATTTCTGTGATATACAGTTGAAGTCAGAATTATTATCCCCCCTTTGAATTTATTTATTAAATTAAATTTTTTCAATTTTAAAATTTAAAATTTATTTATTTAGTTTTTTATATTTCCCAAATGATGTTTAACAGGAAAGGAAATTTTCACAGCATGTCTGATAATATTTTTTTTCTCCTGGAGAAAGTCTTAGTTGTTTTATTTTGGCTAGAATAAAAGCAGTTTTAAAAACCATTTTTGGGACAAAATTATTAGCGCCTTTAAGCTATATATATATATATTGATAGTCTACATAACAAACCATCGTAATATATAACTTGCCTAATCACCCAAACTTGCCTAGTTAAGCTAAATAACCCAGTTAAGCCTTTAAATGTCACTTTAGTACTGAAGTACACTGTATAGTACACTGTATAGAAGTGTCTTGAAAAATATCTAGTCAAAATTATTTACTGTCATCATAGCAAAGATAAAATAAATCAGTTGTTAGAAATGAGTTCTTAAAACTATTATGTTTGTTAATGTGTTGAAAAAAATCTTTCTGTTAAACAGAAATAAGGAAAAAAGGAAACAGGGGCGAATAATTCAGGGGGCTAATAATTCTTACTTCAACTGTATATTGCGTTGTGAATACAATTTCACATGATGATTTAACAGGTGCATTTGGATTGATTGGGGGGATTTTGGAGATGAGTCAATATTGAATAATATATAACAAATATATTACGAGCAGAGATAAATAAAATTTAGTAAAGATTAAAGTGAATTATAGTTTTCAGGTATTCACTATTCAGGTACAGATATTGAATAGTAAACATGTGCATAGTCTTCATTGTATATTATTTAATCTTTATTAAAGTTACAAAACATTTCTTGGGGCCGGATGTTTTAAGATGTGAAATACTGAAATGTTCCCAGTCACAGGCCTTCAAAGGGATAGTTTACTCAAAGAATAAAATGTACTTACTATTTACTCACACTTAAAATTTACTTCAAATGTTCAAAAATATTTACAAAAAATAAAAAAAGTTTCTCTGGAGGGCTAATTTTGCCTTTACCTGTACATAGTCATTTATAGAAAAGTGTTTAGAGTAATACGAGAGTAAGAATATTTAGAGAAACCTTCTCTTTAAGGTTTGTACTTTAAGATGTGAAATAATAAATTTTTGAATGTTAAATTCTGCTCAATTTCAAATATCAAAATAACTGATACCTCCAAATTAGTAGAACCAATTTTGAACCTAAAATGAGTCGTCAATAATTCCAGTCTTACTTCTTGCATAAAACTACATAGATTGGTAAAAAATTTGTGTAATGTTGTCTTCATTGTTTGTTTGCAAACAATCTAACCAATCAGAGCAGAGAATGCTCATTGAAAGGCGGGGTTCAGTGAGACCAGATCATTGAATGAAACATTTCAGACACCGAGAAATAGAGCGTATGCTGAAATGTGTATAATGAGAGTGGTTTTGACTTTGGATGGATGTCAACCTGATATTAATGGTTCCATTAAATTAAAATAAAGTGTTTTCGATGTTAGTATTATTATAAATTGTTTTAAGGTTATCTATATACTAGTACGCTCCAAAACAGTGACAAAATTCCTGTTTAGAAGATATAAAACACATATGAACATGTAGGTTGTAAATAGATCAACTGTTTCAAATCAAATCATAACCAATTTAAATTCTCTCTAGTAACTGACATGCCCCGGCACTTAAAGACGCTTCTCGTTTGCTTTTCATTTGATGCACTTCAGCTCAACCACTCTCACTGGCAGAACTGTGATAAAAGAAAATGCTATTGGCTGTTGTTTTTTTTGTTTTTTTAATGGGGAGGGCCTACTCTACGTCCCACCAACTTTTCATCTGACATTTACATTAAACATGGAATAGAAATGCATATTTCAGAGCTCTTTTGTGGGAAATATGGGCATTTTAAAAGGATAGTTCACCTTTAACTTGTTTCAAATCCTTATGGCTGTCTTCTTTTGAACACAAAAGCAGATATTTTGCAGAAAGCTGAAAACCGGTAACCATTTACATCCATTGTATTTGATTTTCGTGCATATCAATGCGGTTTTCAGGTTAGAGATTTCAATCTTTCTTCAAATATCTTCGTTTGTGTTCAACAGAACAAAGAAACTCATGAAGGTTTGGAACCACTTGAGGGAAAGTAAATAGTTTGTCATTTAAATGTGTGAACTATTCCTTTAAGTATAACATTGAGCTAGAAGTGTTTTGAAGAGTAAAATATTCTTTTGTTTCCGTCTAAGCTGAAGGCCAAAAATAAAATTGTTTCCCAGGCAGTGGAGGTAACCAATATGATAAAATATTAGTTATATCACCTTGTAGTCCTGATGATTATAACTGCTGGAATGTGAAGACATAAATTGTTCCGTTTTATTTATTTTTATTTTTTTTATTTTGTAAGTGTGAGAAATCACAGAAATAATTATTCAGTGTTGAAAAGCCGGAATTCACTTTTAAAGTTGATTCTATCTGCCAACAAATGTGCTCAGGTCATCTAATTCAGACTTTTTTTCTCGTTTTAATTAACTATCCTGTGAATATAATGTAAACTCTGGAGCTGTGGTGAATGGAGTTTTTAATTAAAAAGATAAAACGGGCTGATTAAACTGAGGGACGGGACAGGGTGCAGATTGTGAGCCGGTCACTGTGCTTTACTAAAGCTTCCCACCTCATTTTCTTTATTATAGATTAAATTCAGTTAGAATTGAGCTCTAACAATAGCAGTGTTTATATGCACATGCTCACATCACCTACAAATGTCATGCCATCGTTTATTAGGTGTCATATTGTTTTAATGCTTTATGATTTTCTTTGTTCCAAGGAGCATAAATAAAGATACTATAAATATTGGTTTTAGTGTATTCCATTCATAAGATGAAAGGCTTTTTAACTTCTTATTTTGCTACATAAAAGCAATAAAGGTCACATATGCATGATGGTTTATAAATCGTGACTAAATGTTCATTTTTTACATGATTTAAATTATATAAACAAACTGTAATTATACAAAGTAATAATTAACAATAAGAGATACAGAGAGTTTTTTTTTATTAAACTAATTAAAAGCAAAAAAAAAAGAAATACATAAATATATATATATATATATATATATATATATATATATATATATATATATATATATATATAAAGAAAAATAATGTGCAAATGACACTACATTACAATTTTTTTCATTTCATTTTACTCTGGATGATTGAGTAAATGATTTGACTAATTTACTCAGCATTTTAGATAATAACAGATAATGAATCCGTTACAAACAGTACCTTCAGAGTGTGGAATAATTATGATGAAATGGTTATTTTTACTTTTTTTTTTTTCTTTATTGATGTATTTTAAATAATTATTTATTTTCTTTTTCTTGGCATTCATTAACCCATCCATCTATTTATTCATTGAATAATGATTAATTACAATTCAGCTTATAAATTGAATTCAATAAACAAATACATTTAAAATATAAATGCAGTATGTACACCCCTCACAAATGTTTTAAATTTATATTTTTATTAGGAAGCTCTACAATATTATATTTGTGCACATGCATTAGATTAGTCAGTATTGAAGCCAAATCTGGAGCTAATCTAACAAAATAGCTGTCCAAAAACTAGTACACCTAATTTTATTTGTTATAGGAAAATATTAAATACAATTTTAAAAAAGAGGAAAAATCAAGAGAAGAATTTTGTAGGTTGTATTTTTACAATATTTTGCTTAAATTTAATTGTATTAACTT